AGTGTTTTCTTCAAATGGATGGACCCAACAGATCCCTTTTCTGTGACTACTTCTGTTCTCTCATTCTTCTGTAGATTGCAAGGTGGAACTCCAAACTGGGATACGGAGGTGTTATTCATGCAGTGCTGAAGTTCTGTCTGGAGCCTGGATTACTAGGAGATTTAGGAATAGTAATCAGCTCTCTGAAGAGCTGGATGACTTTTGATGTTCCCTAGCCTATCTTTGATAAACAAGATGGTAATTAAAGATAATGGTGCACTACAGACTAAGTTTACCTTGCCTAATGAAGGCAGTAGGCAGCACTGTGGAGTCTGAAGCCTGGCAAGGGGCCAGTGGTGAAGCAATGGCTCCTAAGCACCTTGGTCGGTGTGGTGACTGGTATCTGTTTGCTCCAGAACTCCTCCTGGAGAAGGCTAACAGCAGTCATATAGTAGGGCTGTAAGGCTATTAACAGTACATATCTTCTCTGCAAAATAGCCAGCCAGAACTTACTGGTTGCAATCACCTCTTTTAGTAACTTGTTATGGATATTTAATCATAGTCTTGCTGAAGTGGAAAAAGCCTCAGTAAGGGAAAGTGTGAAGGATGTGGCCTGAAGTGATGTGGAACATAATCTAGTTGTTCTCTGGCTTAAATACTGTCCTACCTGTAAGTTTGTATGTCTGACATGACCTTTATTAAGCCTCTCCAAGTTGAGCAGCTTGGCTACAGCATGTTTTGTTAGAATACAGCTCTGGTAATTTCTTGAAACTGGGAGCTGTGTAACAGCCTGGCAGTGAGGCGGAGCAGTTGTCTTGGCAAGCTTTGAAATGTAAGCTTCTAGTTCTGTAGCACAGCACTCCTTCCACTGTCATCAGTAGTGGTCTTGACTTCCTTTTTGACTTAAGGTTACTGAAGTGGTTCTAGTGATGGTAAAAATCAAATATGCATGTAGAAATACTTCAGTGATTGTTACCATGGCTGAATACTGTGATGAAAACTTCCCAGTTAATCAAACACATTTTCTTTAACAGCCCCTGCACACCCCCCCTCTCCTGCTTAGTGGAACAGAAGATGTAGCTAAAAATTAGTCCTTGTTTTTTGATACTTTTGTTTTCTTTTTCCCAGTATGTGGAACAAACTGAAGCTACCTGCCACTGTGAGGTTTTGTTTTGCTTTGTCATCCTCTACTGTAAACAATAAATTAAGTTTGAATAAGGTTACCATGCAGTATAACTGCTAGTGTTCAGGAAATTTGTTTTTAGATACCTCAGCCTGGTTTTAACTTGTGAGTTATCCTAAGCATTGTTATATGACTGTCCTTAGTGACATTTAACATCCAGTGTGCTGTTGTTGCACTCTAAAACTGCAATTTCAGCATATGGACTGTAATCAGCAATAAGGAGACAATTTAAGACTTAATCCTTCAACTTGAGTTCCAATGTATGGAGTTAAACTTTTATCACTGTCTAGTTGCTATGCTCTTTGTTTGGTTGAGGTCTACATGAGATTATATACTGCATTCAATATAGAACAGCCTGAAGGGATTATTCAGAACAGGCTTTTGTTCATATGCTGTGCAAGTTTTTAACTTTGAGAGAATGAACCTTCAGATGTGAATTTGCTGTTTAATATGGGTGTTCCTGTCAACTCTGCTACAGCTGTATGTACTGGGGGTGGGATTTTGATTTTTGTGTTGCTGAGGCTGCAATCCATTTCTACTAAAGGTGCTGACTTCACAAATTCCTGAAGTATTTTAGTCAGGCTTCCCTTAATGCTCTGTTGCTTGCTTAGAACACAAAGAACCCAGCTTCTAGCAGGAACTGATAATCTGCAAGCATAATGTCTAGATAACACTGCTTGAAAAGTTTCCTGAGAGGTTTTGGTGATTTAAAAAAAAAAACAAAACAAAACAACAACAAAAAAAAAAAAAACCAAACACAAAAAACCCCAAACAAATAAAAAAAACCCGACAGCCTTGATTTCATGTTGGGTTAAGAAAAACTGGCTGACATACTTATTGTTGTTTCCTTTTCCTCCCCCCATTTTTAACATCAGTGATTATTGCCACACTTGTTGAGGTTAGAGAAACAATTGCTAATGATTCATAGTCAATACTGCAATGCGCTTTCCTTACAAACAGAACCTAAAGATATAGAGCAAGGACCTAGCTTCCAAACTTGGGTAACTTGATATCCTACTCAGGTTAGCAGTATCCCAGACTGAGGTCAGTGTTCTCTGCCCTGTTAATCTAAATGAAGTGCAAAATCTCCAGACTCAGGACTAATGTTTTAATGAGATGTGTTCTTTGCTTGGTAAAAGGGAAAATAAATTAATAGTTTTAAAAATTAAGGTTTTCATCTGGAGCAGATGAATTGCTGAAAATAAGGGAAGTATTCTTCAAGTCTTTTTAAGAGTGCTAATGTGATAGCTTACAAAATGGGAGTGTTGTCTATTTACATAAACACTTGAACCCTTTTGAGGTATGTTACTGTGGCCCTCTGTAGAGTATGGACCCAGGAGAGAAAGACTTGCTTCGCTCTACTAGTGAATTCCTAATGCTGGCAAGTATCTTAGACGTGAACACTTGACTACCTCTGTCAACTGCACAGGACAAATAATGTAATGCAATTAAAACAAATTTAAAATCTATAGTAGAAGACAGTTCAAGTCTTAGACTGTACAAGCTGCTACTTGTTTATACAGCAAATAGTGTTACTGGTTTAAAACCAGTTTGTTTTAGGCTGGCAAGTTAAATTAGAAGAAAACTCATAATGTGTTGCATGATACATTAGTAAAAACCGTGTAAACTGTGATCCCAACAGATGCATTTTATAAACTGAGGGAAGTATACTGTGCTGTCTAGCCTTGTCATTCTAGAAGTTAATTGGAGTTTCTAGGTCAGATTAAAACTGTGGACGTATCTCCTGCTTTATCTGAAAACCAGGATGCATACAGCTAGCAAGTACAATTTATGTTTCAGAATGGGTACTGTGAATTCTTGAGCTCTGAAAATGCTCAACTTAAGAACAGTAACTGGATGAGTAGGTACAGGGAAGTAGTTTTTCATGGTTGGGCACGGGGGAAGTTGTGGGTTTTTTTGCTATGTGGGGTGCCTGCCAAGGCACCCTGCTGCACTTCAGTGTTTTGAGCAGTGCCCCTTAAAAACCAGTGTTGTAGAATGGAAAAAATCAATTTTAAACAAATCTGTGGGTATTGTATTAAAAATGACAAGACAAACCCCAGTAGTTGCTTCTGTTTGGGCCCTACCTTGTTTCTATTTGTATGGTGTGTGAGTCTTGCTACATGTCTGTGCTCTTGTGGCCATTATTGTAGGCTTATTAATATAAACCAGTTTTCTGCATCTTATGCAAGAGTTGGTTTTGGAAGTGCATAACTTCACTGTCTTTTTTTGTATCTAAATCAAGAAATTACAAAACCTGGATTAATTTGCATTCGTCGTGGGATTCCCTTCTGGATTCCCTTCTACTTCAAATACTTTGCTTTTAACCTATCCAGAGGCACTTGTTTCCTTGAATTACTTAATCACCTTTCATCTGTCCTGCTGTCAGATCATTTTTGGAATGGTAAAGGGATGACTAACAGTCACCAGGTGACAGAAGGTTTGGACATGCAAATGTAGTAGGAAGTTTAAATGCAGTGAATTGTTGCTTTGCTTCTGTGAAAGAAAGGGGTGAGACTGGAGGTGTGTCAGAATCCTGGTCCTGCTCTGCTCTTCAAGCCTTGTCACGCGCCCTCCGTGCACCGACGGGGCTGCAGTCATGGCTGGGGTGTTGGGGGGGAAAGTGGGCTCTGAAAGCTGGGCTTCACTACTCGTAAGGTTGGACCATTTTCAGGCAGGGCCAGGATGCTTTTATTCATAACCTTGTGGCCAAATAGATGTGATGAGAAGAGTAAAGGAAGCTGTCTTTTTCTGCTGCTAGTTGATGTTTTGGAAACTGCTTGAAAGTTGAGTAGGTACAGGTCTGAATTTCCAACACAACTAGATGGCCAGTTATACATTGCTGAGGTAGACTTAATTTGCTTCCCTCAAAGTTCAAGCAACTGAATATAGTGCCTGAGTTGGATATTTTACCCTACCATCCTCACTCATGTAGAAGATAGTGGACCAAGACTTCTGTTGAATCTTAGTCCCCCAAAACCAAAATGGTAAAGAGCAATAAGCTGTTTTGGTTTGAACAGTCCAAGTATTACTTGAATAAGCTTGCATTATCAGAATTTAAACTGCAGCTTATTTCTCTGAATATCTAACTTGGATTGACACTAGAAGTCCTAATACCTATTATTGGAATCAGAAGTTGATATTTTATATAGACAGTGCTGAGAAGCCTAAGGTGATAAAGTTGCCTAATAAAATGTGAGTTTTAAATATTTCTGTTTTTTCAAGTGACTTTCAGGAGGCATATTCAAAGTCTGAACTTATGCATGTATTCTATCTGTCTGAGGTCTTTTGAGTCTCGGGCCTTCTTGTAAGTTCACTGCTTTTCCTCTTCAGTGTCTGTTAGTGTTTTTAAAGCTGTTGAACTGAATGGCCATTCAATAGAGAAACAGTAAATTGGTTTGTCCTTAGGTGAGGAGTAACACAAGATGTTTGTTCGTAAGATTGTGCTTAGGAGACTTTTTCCTTAAGAGTACTGTCAACCTAGTAATCAAACTGGAAGTAAAATTCTGTTTTTTCTTGTCAGTTTAAGGAATAGAAAAGCTGAAGTGTTTGTGAAAGTCTGTAATAAAGGCATCTCAGATTAGTTGTATGCAACTGATACTGTCTAAAGTCTGCAAAGCTGCTTGAAACAGCTTCTCAAATTTTAGCTTCTCACATTCCCTATAAAGCAATGCTTAAGTTACCTCTGTTTGCCTTCATCTAGTCCTAATTCTGGAAAGGGAGAGTAATAATTCATCCTGTTTGTATGTTCACACAGCATGGTTGGGTAGGAAGAATCTTAGGATGTCAGAGGGCTGTCCAAAGCACTGTATCCTGATGTTTGTTCTTTTGATTTCAGGTAAAAGTAAAGAAGCAGAGATAAAGAGAATAAATAAAGAACTAGCAAACATTCGGTCAAAATTTAAAGGTAAGTGACTCGATCATACTTAACTATGCATACTAACTCATATGACATTCTTCTTTGAGTTTGTGGTTTGCTTTTATATGTTTAGACTTTGTGTCAACTGTTGATGCAAACAAAATGCTAGAACAGTCTATTAGAATAACTACTGAAAATGTTCTCTTAACTATAGAACTTCCTGACAATCCTGTGATTCTTGGCCATAACAAGAAAACACCCTCCTATATCAAAGAATTGAGCTACTGTTCACAAACTTTTTTCTAATACCTTGCCTCCTAACCATGTGACGATTCAGCCTGTTTTCTTCCAGAAGGTCATGAACTTCTGGTTTGAAGAAACATGGTTGGATGTAATTATTTCCAGTAAAACAGAATCTGTTTAAATTAATCTTCCTTCCCTCCTCACCCCCCAACCCCATTTAGGGAAATAGTGGGTTAGGCTGTCTTCTAGCAAAGTTAAAATTGTGTAGCTGATACGGCCATACATCTTGACCACTCCCATAAGCAACAGCAATACAAATTCATATGAAACAAAGGATATGTAGTAACTACTTCCATCCTCGTGTGCTCCAAGAGGCAGCAATTCACTTTTAAACAGCACTGGGTAAAACTCGTGCTGTATCTGTCTTTAAGTTGTGTATGTAGCTTCAAATTTTAAAGATTCTGAAGGGTAGTTGAGATGCTTTTGAATGGAGTTCTACCAGTCGTGGCTGCGGCAAACATTCTGTTTAAATAGATATGGGGCTGTGTGTGTAGCTAGATAAGGCATTGGGGCGTGGAGTGTGGCTTTGGAATTCGATCTGTCTGTATTTGGATTAAACCCCTTTACCTTAGTTATCTATCTTGATTTAGCCTAGTGTATCTATTTGGAATACTCAATGCGTTAACAAAGCCTGAAATAGCTTTCCTGAACTTCAGGGATCTGTTGCTACTTTTTAAGTGGTGTGTCTCTTAAAGCTATATGAAGACCTGCAAAAACTTGAGTGTCAGCAGCAGCTTGGAAGGGAAAAGTTGACCACAGTGCAAGGCACTCAAGAATAATTAAGAAATTATTCTGAATTAGAAGCCATCACATGCCTCTGTCCTAATGTTTTTCTTTTAGAAATTTCAGCTTGTTTTATCCAGATTGGTAACTTAAGTCGTAGGGTAACTGAGTAAATTTTAGTGGTTATTTTTCTAGGGTAAATAAAAAAAGGAACTTTCTTTTAGTCATCTCCCTATTCTGTCACATTGTTTCTCAATTCCTTTTCATTGCAAGGCTTCCATCTAACACTGATGTTGGTCTCATTTTTTGCCAGAAGTAGCAGGGCTTGCATAGTCTGTTCTGCAGTTCTCTGTCACCCAATCCAAATCTGAAACTTGTGCCCATTTTCCAGTTACAGTGACCACTTGTGTCCATTTTCCAGACAGTGACCAGCAGATACTGCCTTCTTGTACCAAGTATGCCTGCACACTGAGCAGCTAGCACACAGTTCAGGGTCTACTAGAAACCTGCATAGAAGAGTAACAGCCATTTTTCTTCGTTCCAGCTGCATGAACAAAGTGGATCGTCTTGTTGCCTAGTAAATTTAAGCATAAAATTGTAACTTTTAAATAAACCAGTTTAAAGTCCGAGTAGTATATAGACTAGACAAATTAAGTATATCTTTCAGATAAAGATACTGAATTTAATTAAAAACTATTTAAGAAGTTTCTGTACACTTAAGTTAGTCAAAGTTTCATGTTACTTTATCTTTCAACTAATTTTGTTAAGTTGATTAATCTGGAAGATACAAACACAAAGACTGCTTGTTTTTTCTTGGTCTGTGTTTGTAAAACTACTTTCTGCCAGATAGCAGCATTATTGGTTATCAGCTATTGCTGAAATTCATTTCAGCATCTAAATTCTTTACTTAATTATTTAGTCAGGACAGGTTTTTCTAGAAGGCAGCATGTCGCTTTCCCTGTAAATATATTAAGTTATTCCACCTATGCCCTTCTGTCATCAAGAACTACTAGCAGTTAATGTCTAGCTGGAAACCTTGCTGCAGTCACATTAACACAGCAATCCAGTTCTTTCAGCAATTTAACTTCAGGCTACACCAACTTTTTTTTATCTTGATTTGGCTGATGGGCAAGCTTTAGTTTGTTTGCAAAACCTAATCAATTTTTCAGTAATGAAACTGGGAGCTTTCTTCAGTCTGCAGTGAAGGTCTGAAAACTTCAAAAGACATTAAAAAAATGGAAGTTATTGAAGCTCCTATAAAACCCCACTGCCTATTGTATGTTCCAGTGTGCTTTTGAAACATGAAGGTTCTGTCAGACCTGCTCACTTCACTGCTACAGTTAAGCATGCTATTGTAAAAGGAATGCAATAAGGAATTGCAGAAAAAATCATAATGGTTAAGGCTGTTTAAGTACTGACTTGCAGGGATATAGTCCAGTTTTTACTGTTTGGCTGGGGTCAAATCCTATTGAGTAATCCTCTTTAGATAGGAGCAGTTAGTATCTCACTTGCTGCTTACTAGCCCAACTCCTTATGTTTGTAACTGATGTGAAAAGCTTTAATCTGCAAGCTGAAATGGGGATGCCAGATTCAAACTTCTACTCCATATGAAAGCTAAGCATTCTAGAAAAAATGGTGGCTTACATGTTTTGAGTTAACACAAATTAAACTCTGTTTGGGTCCATCTGCACCTGCTAACCTGCATACTGGTGTAAGCTTAGGAGTATGAACGTTTGTGTACCACAGCAATCAATGCAGCTTTTGAAAGAAGGTGTAATTATTACTAGCATTAATGAGTGTGCTTACTGGTAAAGTGCAATAAATCCTATGTGGGGATCACAGAATGAACACTGACACACAATTCAGTATTTTGTCAACATCAGTCATCCTGAGTCTTGCCCTGTGAAGAGTCTACAAATGTGTACTCAGAAGGTTGCTAATACCACCTCTAGTGAAAGGCTGTCTAACAGTGACAGAGCTAGTCTTCACTGTTCTGGTCTGTGAATGTCTTGATAAGCAGCAGTATAAGCTAACTTTAAGAAAACTTGGCAGTAATGAACCTATAAGTGAACTGAATTCACTCAGAATAGCATTCTCTGGTTAACAGGGGTCATTTGGTAGCTGTGTTATATGACTGAGCAATCAGAGGTTAAAGAGCTGCTGATGGCCCAGTTCATAAAAACCTGCAGTTCTGTTCCTCAGTTTTGCATCGCTTAAGCAAAAAAATAGTTAAAATTACATGCACAGTAAATTCTTCTCTGGTTAATCATGATGCAGGGGAGAATCGACCATCAGAACCTTTGTGTAGAACCATGAATTGGCAAGGATCAGAGAATAGAGGTGCTTTCAGCAAAGTAGTGCAGTAACTTTAGTCTGCAGACCTTGTGTAGAACCTTTTAAGCATGGTTTAAATAGTTTTGAATAAGTATCAGTATGTGCTAATTCAGTAGTTTGAGTGAAAGATGACTAAACCTTCCCATAAGCTGATCTTCATTATGGCTACTTTATTACTGAATTTGTATGGATTTTAGGTGAAAAATCTTATTTAACCGAAGCTAATAACTTGATGTAGGATGTAGCCTGAACAAAAACGAGACATAAATGTCACCATTTGGAAGAAGCTGAGTTTGGACAACTTATTGTGTAACTGTTGAAGGCCTTGAGAGTGTGAGGAGGCGATAGCTGTCTATCTTTCTGCTGCAGAAGTTCTGCACTGGCTTCGTGCTGCATGATTCTGCCTTGCAGGTGGGCTGTTTAAAAATAAACAGACCTTCATAATGCATTTCATGCTTGGTTTAAGTGGATATCATTCAATTTAACCCAGTTTCTTTTTACTTAGACCTGACTTCTAAAAATGTTTTTAAATGGTTTGGACTGAGACAAATGTGTAGCCTTGAACTGAAGATGGAGTCCTTTGCTAAATAATTACAGGGAATACTGGTTCCCTGGATTAATTACCTGGGCAAAGATGCTGCTGTTGGACTGGCTGCGTTGCAGTCTGTGAGAAGCATGGCCAACAGTAGTGCCTCTTGACACAGCTATGTTCTTGCTTGAGACTAGCATAAGAGACTGGTATATCACATGTATCCTTTCCTTCCTCTGGACCTTTGCACTCTTCAGCATACTGTGTTGCAGTCTCTAAACCCCCACCCCATCTAACTTGCAAGATAGATTCTTCTACTCTTACAGAAGCTAAGTATTTCTACTTTTGTTCTATCATGCAAGTAGCTGGCAAGCCAGTTAGCTGCCTTATGTTTGGGTAACCTGCTATTTAAAGTACCCCTGTACTTAATAGGCTAGGATGAGGCTGCACATCTGTAGAAAAGCCATAATTTTCTTGAACTGCTGGAATGTATGCTGTGGCTTTGGGTTCTGATCTGGCTTCTGTGCTCCAAGCTCAGAAGGAATGTAGGGTCTCTGTACTTGAGGTGACTGTCTCTTGTTTCAGCATGAAGAAGCTCCATTGCTGAGGTCAGTGTGTCCTTGACAGTTGCTTTAAATGCTTCTGCATTAACTGAGATAAGATGCATATAGTAGAGAGAAACTACACTGGAGCAATAAAGCAGAAGTTGTAGGAGTTAAGTATGAAGTGGAGAAATACTATTCGTTTTGTTTTATGTCTTCAGAGTGTAAGCTGATTTTGTTCCCAAGCTTGAGCTGAGCTAGAAGTCTGGCTGTTGGAGTAGTAATTGTTTTGTAAATGAGTGAAAAAAATATCTGAATTGTTGCATCATTTTGATCTCTCATAGCAGAATTTGCCTACTAATGAAACTGCCCACAAATCTATAAGATGTTGCTGCAGTCAAAGGAACTTTGTCCTCTGCTCATTTCAGACTTGTTCTTTTTTCCAAATCTGGCATTAGATTCTAGTTTTGTTCTAATTGCTTAATAGGGTTTGTCTTACAACAGCAGCTGCTAGATTTCAGACATACTAGTGTATATTAGTTTTAGCTTGTGCAGAAGTGCCCCAATGTCAGTTGATAATGTCTGCTTTTTTCTTCTTTTTTTTTTTTTTCGTTTAC